CTTTGTGCAGTAGTACACAGTAGTACGGGGAAGTAGTTTGTGCAAGCTTTGTAGTACACAGTAGTACTGGAACGTGTTTGTGCATTTGTAGTACACAGTAGTACTGGGAAGTGCTTTCTGCAAGCTTTGTAGTACACAGTAGTACTGGGAAGTAGTTTGTGCGAGCTTTGTAGTGCACAGTATTACTGGGAACCTGTTTGTGCGAGCTTTGTAGTACACAGTAGTACTGGAACGTGTTTGTGCAAGTTTTGTAGTACACAGTAGTACTGGGAAGTAGTTTGTGCGAGCTTTGTAGTACACATTAGTACTGGAACATGTTTGTGCGAGCTGTGTAGTACACAGTAGTACTGGGAAGTGTTTTGTGCAAGTTTTGTAGTACACAGTAGTACTGGGAAGTAGTTTGTGCGAGCTTTGTAGTACACAGTAGTACTGGGAACGTGTTTGTGCGAGCTTTGTAGTACACAGTAGTACGTGCAAGCTTTGTAGTACAAAGTAGTACTGGGAAGTGCTTTGTGCAAGCTTCGTAGTACACAGTAGTACTGGGAAGTGCTTTGTGCAAGCTTTGTAGTACACAGTAGTACTGGGAAGTACTTTGTGCAAGCTTTGTAGTACACAGTAGTACTGGGAACGTGTTTGTGCGAGCTTTGTAGTACACAGTAGTACTTGGAAGTAGTTTGTGCGAGCTTTGTAGTACACAGTAGTACTGGAAACGTGCTTTGTGCAAGCTTTGTAGTACACAGTAGTACTGGGAACGTGCTTCTTCAAGCTTTGTGGTACAAAGTAGTACTGGGAAGTTCTTTGTGCGAGCTTTGTAGTACACAGTAGTACTGGGAACGTGTTTCTGCAAGCTTTGTAGTACACAGTAGTACTGGGAAGTAGTTTGTGCAAGCTTTTGTAGTACACAGTAGTACTGGAACGTGTTTGTGCATTTGTAGTACACAGTAGTACTGGGAAGTGCTTTCTGCAAGCTTTGTAGTACACAGTAGTACTGGGAAGTAGTTTGTGCGAGCTTTGTAGTGCACAGTAGTACTGGGAACGTGTTTGTGCGAGCTTTGTAGTACACAGTAGTACTGGGAAGTGCTTTGTGCAAGCTTTGTAATACAAAGTAGTACTGGGAAGTGCTTTGTGCGAGCTTTGTAGTACACAGTAGTACTGGGAACGTGTTTTGTGCGAGCTTTGTAGTACACAGTAGTACTGGGAAGTAGTTTGTGCAAGCTTTGTAGTACACAGTAGTACTGGGAAGTGCTTTGTGCAAGCTTTGTAGTACACAGTAGTACTGGGAAGTGCTTTGTGCAAGCTTTGTAATACAAAGTAGTACTGGGAAGTGCTTTGTGCGAGCTTTGTAGTACACAGTAGTACTGGGAACGTGTTTGTGCGAGCTTTGTAGTACACAGTAGTACTGGAACGTGATTGTGCATGTGTAGTACACAGTAGTACTGGGAAGTGCTTTGTGCAAGCTTTGTAGTACAAAGTTGTACTGGGAAGTGCTTTGTGCGAGCTTTGTAGTACACAGTAGTACTGGGAACGTGTTTGTGCGAGCTTTGTAGTACACAGTAGTACTGGAACGTGTTTGTGCAAGTTTTGTAGTACACAGTAGTACTGGAACGTATTTGTGCAAGTTTTGTAGTACACAGTAGTACTGGAACGTGTTTGTGCGAGCTTTGTAGTACACAGTAGTACTGGGAAGTGCTTTGTGCAAGTTTTGTAGTACACAGTAGTACTGGGAAGTAGTTTGTGCGAGCTTTGTAATACACATTAGTACTGGAACGACTTTGTGCAAGCTTTGTAGTACACAGTAGTACTGGGAAGTAGTTTGTGCAAGCTTTGTAGTACACAGTAGTACTGGGAAATGCTTTGTGCAAGCTTTGTAGTACACAGTAGTACTTGGAACGAGTTTGTGCAAGCTTTGTAGTACAAAGTAGTACTGCGAACGACTTTGTGCAAGCTTTGTAGTACAAAGTAGTTCTGGGAAGTAGTTGTTGCAAGCTTTGTAGTACACAGTAGTACTGGGAACGACTTTGCAAGCCTTGTAGTACAAAGTAGTACTGGGAAGTAGTTGTTGCAAGCTTTGTAGTACACAGTAGTACTGGGAACGACTTTGCAAGGCTTGTAGTACACAGTAGTACTGGGAAGTGCTTTGTGCAAGCTTTGTAGTACACAGTAGTACTGGGAACGGTTTCGTGCAAGCTTTGTAGTACAAAGTGGTACTGGGAAGTGCTTCGTGCAAGCTTTGTAGTACAAAGTGGTACTGGGAAGTAGTTTGTGCAAGCTGTGTAGTACACAGTAGTACTGGGAAGTGCTTCGTGCAAGCTGTGTAGTACAAAGTACTGGGAAGTAGTTTGTGCAAGCTTTGCAGTACAAAGTGGTGCTGGGAAGTGCTTTGTATAGTGGGGAGTGTAGAGCGTGTAGAGTGTGGAATGTGTAGTGTAGATTGTAAAAAGTAAGAGTGTAAAGTGTAGAGTGTGGAGTGTGGAGTGTATAGTGTAGTGTAGAGTGTGGAGTGCAAAGTGTGGAGTGTAAAGTGTGGAGTGTGGAGTGTAAAGTATGGCGTGTGGAGTGTAAAGTGTGGAGTATGGAGTGAGGAGTGTGGTGTGTGTAGAGTGTAGAATGTGGTGGAGTGTGGCGTGTGAAGTGTGGAGTGTGGAGTGTAGTGTGTGTAGTGAGGAGTGAGGAGTGTGGAGTGTAAAGTGTTGAGTGTGGAGTGAGGAGTGTAAAGTGTAAAGTGTGGAGTGTAAACTGTAGAGTGTGGAGTGTGGAGTGGAAAGTGGCGAGTGTGGAGGGTAAAGTGTGGCGTCTGTAATGTAAAGTGTGGAGTGTGGAGTGAGGAGTGTGGTGGGTGTAGAGTGTTGAGTGTGGTGGAGTGTGGAGTGTAGAGCGTAGAGCGTGGAGTGAGGAGTGTAAAGTGTAAAGTGTGGAGCCTGGAGTATAAAGTGTAGAGTGTGGATTGCGGAGCGGAAAGTGTCGAGTGTGAAGTGTAGAGTGTCAAGTTAAGTGTAGAGTGTAAAGTGTAGAGTGTAAAGTGTAGAGTGTGGAGTGTGGAGTGTAAAGTGTAGTGTGCGGAGTGTGGAGTGTAAAGTGTAGAGTGTGGAGTGTGCAGTGGGTAAAGTGTGGAGTGTGGCAGGTGGTGGTGATCTCGTTGTGCTGGTGATGTTGCTGTGCTGGTGATGCTGTTGTGTTGGTGATTTTGTTGTGATTTCATTGCGCTGGTGATATTGCTGTGCTGGTTGTGATTTCGTTGTGCTTGTGGTGATGTTGTTGTGCTGGTTAGTTGTTTCTTTGTGAACCGCACGATGCATGCAAACATCGGTTCGTTTTCCTATTGCAGAGGTTTGCACTCGTAGTCCAAGAACGTGAATACATTCGGGTTCGTGACTTCCATCTTGTTTGAGGTTCCTTTCTTTCGAATAAAAAAAGTAACATTGGTCCTACCAATCACAGAAAATGCCGGGATTTGTCCAAAAACACATCGCCAAAAACGTCATGGTCATGGTGTGTCAAGTTGTCAAGTTCAGTAATAACCCCAGTCCCGGTCATAAAACGGGTGCTGGCCAAATTCTTGGGGGCTCAAAAACACGAAAAACACACACACACACACACTTTTCAAGGTGAAGTCCATGTTTATAATCAGCTATAAAGTGGCTATAATTCCAATAAAAATGTGGACAAATGGCTATAAAATACCAAACAAAATGCTATAAACCCATCATATCCCAATTTTTGGTTGGTAAATCTCTGAGGCGCAGACCGCGGGCGATGACCCAGAGGTCACCGCCTCAGTTTCAGGCAGGAAAATCATGCGGAACTTCACGAAAAGCAGGAGAAAAACCACGAAAAATATCGGATAAACATGGAAAAATCATGAGAAGCATGGAAAAACCATGGGATAAACATATGGAAAATATGGTAAAAACATCATGAGAATCATGCATTTCCATGCATTTCCGGAGACCTAAAAACGCTGAGGAAGGGACTGCCTGGTAGCCACTACCATACATCTGGCTGGCTTCTCGAAGGCCACACCATGGTGGCTTCACCACCCATGGCGTCGATGGTCACCAGGTGCCGCTTCTGACGGTGTGTTTCTTCACGCTCCAGCTGCGGTTGGGGGTTGGGGCCCGGTTGGGGGCTGAACTTGGAGGTTTGGAGGTGTGGCTGCACATTTGAGGTCTCTGAAACAAAGGGCTCAAGCAAGCGAGGTTTCTAAGGAGCTTCAAGTGGAAGGTTTGGTGGTGAATTCCAGGCGTCAATGGCTGTCAATGGCTGTCAAATACTCAAGCCAAAAGCTGAGGACCAATGCAGTTTGACCCGAAAGCACCCAGCAAAACGGACCCTGGAGCTATCTCAATGATTCGAACGATCAATAATTTCGTGCAACTTCAATAGAAGCCGTTTGGACCGTGCATTGCTGGCCGCCCAGAGCTAACAACGAAATGAACTTAGCAAGGAGGCAAAGGGACAGAAAGGAGTACTGTACAATATGCAAGGCAATTAAAACAGAAAGAGAGTTTGGGTTTGCAGTAGCTGTTTTGTCTTGGGAGTAGAATACACAAGGACAAGACAACCCATTTGTGTGAGCCTGTGAAAATGCAGAACGGCAATTATGGTAAAAAGATGTAAAACGACTGGAGCCAAAACAAACCAAGAAAAGCAAACCTTGGTACACCGGCTGTCCACAACCAAGACACACACAGAATAGTCAACTTGAACCGCATTTGTGGCCACCATACCCAGTGATCTTCAAAGCGACACTTTATTGACACCAAAGCCGCTGGAAGTGAATCCCATCCCATGGGGTATCATATGTACCATGGTCAAAACATGGTATATGGGCCTATGATCATCCCACCATCATTGGGAATTCCCGCCATATAATGGGTCTATTAATGTCTACTATATATATATATATGTTAATTGACTAATTAATTAATTAATTAATTAATTAATTAATTAATTAATTAATTAAGCCTACTGATGGTTGGATGACCATCCATGACCATCCCCAGCTGTGGCCATTTCGGGGTATCCCCGTTGGGAAAAAGCCTGGTGCTTTCCAGTCGCTTCGCATCTTTCCTCACCATGGGGCGCTGTCAGAGCGCCGAAGTGGGGAGCTCACGGCTCCAGTGACACGGAGGATCAACGAGGATCAGCGGCTCATCCGAACCATCCTGGGTGGACATCGTGTAGCGCTATGGCTGGCCAACGTGGGTGGTTGTGTTAGCTAGCAACGGTGGATTTGGGGACTGTGGATATTGAATGATTTGAGTGGGTAATCTGCAGAAACTGTGGTTTTGCCACCCAAAAGTCCAAAAATTCAAAAGAAGAGGTATATAGATGATACCAAGAGAATCCTAGATGGGAATGACTGGGGGCAAACCTAGTTGAGGGAGACTTACTAGCCAATATAGCCAATATAGCCCATATATATAGCCAATATAGCCAATAGGGATCCATCCAACACAAAGCTGAGAACGAAGATCAAGAAAACAGCTATGACGCCAAGCATCTCCTGTAGGCTTTTTCTCTGGGGTGGTCCTGGGTGAGGACTTGAGGATAAAAAAATGTCCACCAAAAATTGAGTGAGACTCAGAAGGATTGAATACTAGTGGAAAAAAAACATGTTTATGATGGTCTCACATTCCGGTCCCAACGTATGTTTCGTCCCTGGGCTAGTTTAAAAATGGGCTACCCCCGATTCTACTGGTTGATCATCAGCATCCCCTTCAGACAAGGCCAATGCTTGGCGGTTTCCTGCGGTCCTGATCTCTCTCCAGGCCGGTACGGAAAGCTCCAACCTTGTAGTCCCAGTCGAAGATACCTTCACGCTCAAAGATGGTGCCTTCTCCATGCTTCCCAAAGGGCCTCTTCATGTCGTTCGGAAGCTCAGTTTCATCCTGGTAGCAGCAATATGGCATCCAATGTGGGCTGGCTTCACACATATGCTCGGATTCAGTGCTCTGCGAAAATCGACATTACAAGCCTTTTTCAAGTTGTCTAAGTTAGATGGTTGGACGAGCCAGTTCCTAGACATGTCCAATTGAAAACCTCTGCATAGCCTTGAACAGACCTTCAAAGTCAACATGAACACTGGAGAGCATCAAATAGCAGGCAAAGTGATTGATGTCTATGCCCAAATATATCCATATATGGCCTTATAAATGCCTCATAAACTTATAATGCTTCATAATTTGCATGTGTTCGAATGTGTTCGATGGATATTTGAATCATACCCATTGGCCATTCCCCAAGCAACGCTTCGGCAGTGCTGGGTCCTGGGACCAGGTGTCTCCATGGGGGCGGATGACAAATCCAGGGGGCACCAGTCCATAGTGATCGCGCCCTTGCGGAAAGACATAGATGAAATCCACCAGGGATCCTCAGGATGAAAAGCGACAAACGCCAAGAAGTTGATGAGTTGGAAGTGCGAATGTTTCACGAATTCGTCGTTTTTGTCGGATGTTCATAGGATTCTGATCATCTATGGCAGGGCTTCTGATCATCTATGGCAGTGCTTGCAAATTGACCAGAGACCAGAAAATGCAGCGGGAGATTGTACTGGGAGGTGAAATCAAGCTGTGTACGCCAGCCTTGCTCTATCGACTACTTGGTTTCAGGACCCTTTTGCGGCAAGTGGTGACCACTACAGGACTCCCAGAACGCTATGCCTAGAAACTGGCCACCCGAAACTCACTTGCGCCAAGAATTGAAGCATCAAAAGAGGAGATACTGAATCACCTCGAAACTTCATGAAACTTCAACCGTGACTAGCCAGGCCTATGGATTTGACCTGAATTTCAGCTTCTCCGAGTTCTCCTTTCACAGTCCATCCCAGGAAGGTCTCTGCAATCCCTCAGCGTGTTCAATGGCAGCAGGAGATTTTTTTTGTCTGGAAGTCCGTCTGAAAACCAGGCTATGGACTCAAGTACGCACCAAAAAAAATATTACATATATATATATATATACCATATAAATATATATATATAGATTGTATTATATATATATACATATTCAAAGGTTTTGGCTGAGGGGTAGCATTGCACGTTCACTCTGCCCCCTCGCTCTCACCTCAGCGGGTATTTGTTTGGCCTACCCGCGGGCCATTTGACCACTGGCCTTGCTTTTTCCTTCTCGCCGTTGCTGAACTGGTTGGTGCCCTGGCAATCGTGCGACTTCGAAAAGTGCTCTGTCGGTCTGACCAACCGATATCACCTGGCGCCCTGGTCAAGCGTTCTACCTCCACAAGCTCGGGCTGAGCGCTTTTTGACGGAGTTTGACTTGGTCCTCCGCTTCATTGCGACACTCCTGGCTGTGGATTTCAACTACATGGTCATTTTCCTTGTCTACTTCTTGGTTTTCTTGATTGTATTCAAGGGTGTGCTGTCTTTTGAGGGGATCCATTACGGCGACTGCCACTGCTCGACGCTCGCAAAGGCGTCAACGTGCACGAGCTCGCCTTCAGTGGCACCTTCACAAAACAGGGACTGTTCTACTTGGGCCTCGGCAACTTCGGCAAGTTTTCCAGGTGCTGAGCACGCATCATTCTCGAGATCTTGGACTCCTTCGAGCCATTGTCAGAGCCATGCAGCCCAACAATGCACCGTGGCGTTGCCTCCATTGCCGGCAACTCAGGAAGCACAATGCCTCTCACTGTCAGACCTGCCACCTTCCATGGCAGACAGCCATGGATCGCTCCTTCGTGCATGGAGTGAAACAACAGCAAGATGGACAGGACTATCATGCTTGGGGTTATCATGGTGGTCAACAAAGTGGTCAGCAGTATTATCAGAGAGGGCAATCTCCCAGAGGTCAGAAGTCTCCCTGGCGTGGTCAAAGCCCCCGCAAAAAGTCACCTCGTGGTGGAAAAGGTGGAGGAAAGAACATGGATGTGCAAAACTATGGACCCTTTCAGCAATTTCCTGCTGCGCCCTTTCAACAGCAGAATTTTCCTGTGGGCCCTCCTTTGCCACCGCCGGCTGGACCACCGCCAGCCTGGCATCCACCTTTTGCTCATCAGGGCCCACCCAATGTGCCTTTGGGGATGAATATGATGCCGCCTACATCTGTGCCACAGCCTGTTCAAAGTCCATTGCCGTGCCTCAACCCTTCGTTCCTTTGGCGGTTCCGGCACCGACCTTGACACAGAGCGTGCCCAACACTGGACAATCAGATTTGATCAACTATTTGCAGAAGCGATCGGTGGATCTTCCCCCAGACGTTCAGCAACGTGTTCAAACAGAATCCAGGAAGCAAGGGAAGAAAGTCATCAAAGGCTTACAGGCATCCGCCAAGGCCCTGGAGAAGCTCGCACCGCGTACGAGGAGGCTCTACAAGCTCGAGTTCAACATGTATCGTCGTGGAAGTCCTTTTTGGCAGAAGCGGTGCGCAACTGGACGGACTATGCCAAGATGTTCGAACAGAACGAATCAGCTCTCCAAGCAAGGATCACAGCTGCCAGAGACCAGTTCCAGGAGGCGAAGGAGTGTCTGGATGCTTCGAAGACATCTGCAGGGCAAGTTACAGAAGTCGCGGCCAGCGACGAGGAAGAGCTGCCTGGAGATGGAGATTCTTCTGCAATGCAGATTACGACAAGCATTCAGACTCTGTCGAACTCACTTCAGCAGCTGTCCAAGGATGCAGAAGCTATTCAGATCGAAGGCCCTGCGGCCAAGCGCCCCAGAACAGAAGAAGGCTCAGCTGGCGAAGAGGCCAAGGTGCCTTTCAGCTAGGCTGGCTGTCTATGACCTTATGGTATAGCAGTCGGAAGCCTGAAAATCCAGGAGCTCTATTGGCTATGAAGTGGAGCCACAACGTGACCTTTGAGGAGAACTTCCAGTGTGAATGTGGTGCCAGAGAATCTGCTCAAAAGCTCGCTCTTGAGATGAATCTGGCTGGTTGTCACCAGGGTTCTCCAATGCATTCCTCTCCTTCGTCATTGCGATCTTCTTTGAGAAGTAGGACATCACGTTCTCTGCGTGTGGGCTTTGCAGATTGGACGTGTCTCTACATCGGAGAAGAAGCTGACTGGAGATTGCAGAAGTTTTGCTTGCCATCATTTTATTTTGCCTCCGAATCAACACCCTGGAGTGGATGCCCCATGATTGCGGACTTGCGTGCAAGTCGGTTTCAAGTTCGTCCCTGGCATGATGGAGGTTTAGCACGAAGCTGCTATCCCACTACTATGCACAAGGACACCCGAATTGCTTTCCACCCGCCGGGAGTTGATCAATACAAAATCATTGACAATCAACTGGACAACCCCGCTCGGCGACTTCAAGAAGAACCGACCGAGCCAGATCCTGATGTTATCCCTGACATCAATGAAGCGCCAGCCTTTGCTCAAGACCTTCATGCCATTGGGGACGAGCAAGAGGTCTTTTCTGACCCTGACGGAGATGGAATTCTGCGTCTTCGCACTTGGTACATCCACCATGGCAATCACCCTGTGAATTTCCATTCGAGACTGGTGGAGCTTGAAGAAGATTGGAGAAGATGGGAGGATGACATTGTGGGGTCTTGGCGATCTCATCTTCATGCTGGTGCTAGCATTTTCTTCCACCTCGTCTTCCCTGATCCCTATCGCGGTTACTTGCGTCAACGAGTCCATGGAGACATCATCATTACTCAGGGCGATGATCTTCCTCGCAGAGCTGGACTCATCACGGTGCACTACCATGGAAGAGATGCAGATCCTCACTCCTATGCTCTGGCCAGTTCTTTGGAACTCATGGTGAGTGGCAGAAGAATCACTGAGGCCGCTGATGCTGATCAATGGTGCAACAGGGATCACTACCAATGTACCATCTCACATGGATGGGATCGAATTCCATTTGATCACAGGCCTGTCCACCACATGCAGCATGGTCATTCCTTTGTGGTCACTGTCACTGACTCCAATGAGGACAGAGCTGGCAGACGCCTGAACATGCCACAGCAAACAGGTCCATCTCATCTTGCTGCAGATCATGAAGATTTGGACTATGACGACTACGAGGCTGCATCAATCCATGATGCTACGCCATCCCATGGCAGTTCCTCTGGGGCCCCTCGACCAGAAGAGGAAGTTGGAGTTCATATCTTTCGACTTGAGCGGCCTGATGGACATTGCTTCTTGAGGTGGTGGTCATCACATCGGCGCATTCTTTTTGACCTTACCAGATGTTTGTTGATGCGGCGCAATGATGTCGTTGGAATCCATCCCATGATTGTTCTTCCAATTGGACTTCAAGAACCTCATGAGAAAGCTGTGATCATGCAGTCACGGGTTGATCTTTTGCCGGGCTCACGGGAACAACTGGTCCTCATTGACTTGGAGATTCACTTTCATGCGCTTCCTGACGGCCTCTTGATCCCTCCAGCAGTGACCAGAAAGGTTTACCGGATCCTCCCTCCTGTCCACAGATCGCAAATCCTGATCCTTTTGGGGCTCTTTGACTATTGTGAACTTCATGGTGATCATTGCACCATCTTCCACGACCACCTGATCTGGCACCTGCAAGATCGCACGCTACATGATCTTCAACATGGCACCTATGTCCGAGTGATCGTTCCTCCTCCAGCCGACACGACATTGGACACCCAAAGAGCAATCGCGATTTCAAGGGACTTTGCACTTGAAGCACATCGTCCCTATCATCGACCCGATTGCCAAGCACAAGGTTCTCAGTCATGGAGACGTGAGCGGTCTGATGATCACAGCACTTTGTTTCAGCTTGACATGCAGGCCTGTCAACCTCTTCCTGCTCGATACAAGGTTGCTCCTGATCAAGTTGTTCAACCTGCTCTACTTGGCACCTCTGCTGGCAGTGATCTCCCTGTGAGAGCTCCGAGGCCTTTGACCCGCTTTCATGACAGGGACTTCGAGACCCTTCAGAATCTTTTCCAATCCCTCTCACTGATTGAATGTGAAGAGGAAGGCCAAGTAGCTTACGTTGACACTTGGTACGTACATCATTCACAACATTCTCGCTGCACCGATCCTCGTGCTGTGAAACTATACCAAGATCCGGCATCCTGGCTGGAAGACCTGATTGCTCCATGGGAGGACATCATTGATGAGACCATTGATATTGTGCTTTACCTTGTCCGACCGACACCGCCATGTACAATCATGGAATGCTTGCTGGCCCACATCATCATTGAACAGGCTCCGAGACCAGATATGGTTGTTGGGCTGATAACGACCCATGATTCCAGCCAACAAAGTGCTCTGATTGATCACACGGCTTGGTCACTACCATCTCTCATCACGGCGAATTCAATTATTCGACTGGCAGACCATCAAGTTGAATGTCGCTTTCGCAGATGCATAGTACGACGTGGCCCTCTCCCTTTTGATCCATTTGATTTTGATGAAATCGAGTCTGGAGTTGGGCTGGTCATCTACCTCCAACCCTCAAACACTGGCTGGCTCGGATCGGTACAAGGTGATGAAAGTGATCAAAGCTCTTTGATTCAAACACCTGGCATACTTCTACCAGCTCTTGAAGGCATTGATGTTCCGCACAATGACCCGCATCAACGCAAGACAGAGAATTTCGCTTTCAATCCTTTTGCAAAGCGCTTTTGCCCAGGCAGTCACTCGCACAGTTCGACATTTGCCAATGTGCAAGAGCTGCAGGATCTCTGGCGACGTTCTGCCTTTAGCTGGGAGGGCGAGGAAGTTGTCATCAACGTGGTTACATGGTTCGTCGACCAGTTCAACCAAGCACTTCACTCATGCTGGCGGCCAAGACCTGTCCGGCTACAAGGGGAAGCTCAAGACTGGGAACGCCAGCTACGGTTGGCATGGCATGATCTGCAACTACCGGGTGCCCCAATCTTGATTCATGTTGTCCAGCCTTCACCACCCAGCAGGGATCAGCACTTTGCTGCTCATGTGCTTTTGATACAGAATCCACTTGATGAAGTTTCCTCAAGTTTGCTCACGGTCTTTGACACTGAACGAGATCTCAGTGGTCCTACCATGCAATTTGCTGTGACTACAAGGGATACACTCGCGCTTGACGACATCATCAATGACTTGGGTCTCACTGCCCGTTGCCTCTCACCCAACGCCCCTTCTATTTGTGGAGCTTGGATTGGCACTCAACTCCTGGTTCTGGGTAGGCCTACTCCTCTGAGCGATGGATCAGGCATCCTTTTCCAGGTTAGCCGAAGACCCACGAATCAGGACATTCAAGCTCATCTTGCTGGCACCCATCTCCTTCAAATCTCAGCTCGAAGAAAGGAAGGTACGAGGAGGCGCCTAACACATGGGCTGGTAGCTCACACCCATGGGCCTTCTGCAGTACCAGGCAAAGCCACAAACCCCTTCACACCCATCAGATTGAGGAGAACTGGAGATCTTCCTGGACCTCTTCCTTCCTTCATTGAAATATCAGGTCCGCCATCACCTCTCAAGGTGAAACAAGCATTGAGCAGCTTTGGGATCCCCTGCGAAGTTGCGCTTCTCTCTGATGACTTTACGGCGTTGGTGTTCCCCTTGGATTTCCAGAGTGGACCTGAGGCGAATCACTTTGTATATGTCTTTCAGACTGATCCACAAGAGATTCATCTTCATACATTTGAGTCAGGCACTGCTCCTGATGAGCTGGATCACATGAGACATCTTTACCAACTGGGCTTCGAAAAAGCGGTGATTCTCTCGAACACTCCTCACGAAGTTGGAATCACAGAGGTCTCCTTCAAGGTGTCGATTGGAGCTCTTCAGATGCCTGCCAAAAAGGTCAAGCAGCTTCCTGACTGGCCTCTACACCAACCTCGACGACCACCAGGAAAGATGTTCATTCCCAACTCTACGGATGACAGCGCGCCCTGCAACTTGAATTGTGGCATCAGTGCGGCTGACTTGGGTGCCTTTTTCACTTCCTCCAAGAACACGCTGTGCACCTCTTTTGAAGGCCTTGATCTTCCTGAACTTTGTGACCAGGGCTTTGCGCAACTCGCAAACCATATCCACTTCGATCGCCTGATCATTTACACTGACGGATCTTCCCAGACAAGGCACAGACACATTGATCCAAACCTCAACGAGGAGATTGGCATTCCAGATGCCTGGTGCTTTCTTGTCTTGGGAGAGACCTATACATCCTCCACATCTTCAGACATCACTCTCATTGGGTGGTCGACGCATCAAGTTCGCTGCGGCAAAGAGCACAAGTGGTCTCTTGGAGCTGATCGTACAGGCTCAGCCATAGCAGAGCGTGAAGCCCTCACTCGGGCGATGCTTTGGAGGATTGGACAGAACTCCAACATTCCAACAATCTTCAGAAGCGATTCGATGTTGGCGCTTCAGCAAGCACGGGGAGTCATTGGTGCCCTACAATGTGACGCCTCCTTTCAGACCCTTAGGGGGTGTGCCCAGCTTTTGGAATCGGCTCTTGATGCAGAAGGCCTCCTTTTTGATCATATTCCAGGACATGCTGGCGACCCCTTCAACGAATTTTGCGACCACATTGCGAAAGCTGAAGGAAGGAAGGGCTTCTTCTTGAAAAGACCCAACTTGGATCTTGCCACCTGGAGACCCATCATACCTTTCCTTTGGATGCTCTTCGACAGCAACTCTGGAGTGCCCTCCTTTCAAGGCCGAGGCTTCAACGTGCACCCTCCTGACCTGCCACCTGTGGATGACCCCCGACCTTGTGAACAACCCATCCTGCGCTCCAAGAAGGTCGACTTCACCATCAGCATTGCTACGGGGAATGTTCAATCCCTTGGCAAAGGAGAACACGGTTTTGCCGGCAAGCTGGCATTTATCAGATCTCAATTTCTGGCATTGCACCTTAATTTCCTTGGCCTGCAAGAAACTAGATCTGATGAAGGTTCGTCCTTCCAACATGGCGTCTTCAGATTATCCTCGGGGCACCTTCAAGGACAGGGAGGAGTTGAGCTGTGGTGCAATCTCCGTCAGCCCTTCGCCATTGTCGATCGCAAGGAGATCTACTTACAACGCAAGCACTTTTGCGTGGCACATCGTGACCATCGTCGTATTTTGGTGCGCCTCCAACATGACCTTTGGGACGTATGGATCCTTGTTGCCTACGCGCCACACAGCGGTTATTCCTCTTCAGAAAGGTCTACATGGTGGTCCAGCACACAGGACATATTGATCAACGCAGGAATTGACAACTCACCACTTCTCGCTTGTATTGACGCCAATGCTGGTCTTGGTGACTCAGATGGTCTCAGTGTCTTATCTGATGGGTTTCGCACTACTTCTGGAACGAGATTTTTGAGGGACTTCATGTTCGAGTTTCAGCTCTGTGCTCCCATCGCAAGTCCTGCACACTGTGGCCCGACCTGCACTTGGACCTCTCCTATTGGAGATGAGTTCACGATTGACTATGTCCTTCTCCCCAATGCCTGGCAAGAGCACTGCCATCGCTCTAGGATTTTGGAAGAGCTTGACATGGGCAACAAACATCTTGACCATTCTGCTTATGTGGTTGAGCTTGTTTGGGCAGACCAGAAAACAACTGGACAGCACAAAAACGAGGATGGCACCCAGGGAGCTCTTTTTGATCGCTCGCTCATTCAGAGCAAGATGCCAGAGAATTTTCGTGGCTCTACAGTTGCTTCTTGGAATACCGACGTTGAGGAACATCTTGCGCAGATCAACTCACACCTGCATTCCCAGCTCAGACGGTGGTGTCCCAAACCACGAAAGGGCCCTGACAGACCGTACATCGACGATCACACTTGGCAGATGAGGAAAGCAAAACTTCATCATCGGCGTCAATTACGTCTGCTGCGAGGTCTTCTGCGACGGGAGACCATGGCCCGGATCTTCTCTGCTTGGAAGGAGCCACAGAACTGGAAGCAAGATCGGTCTTTTGCTTTTGGATCAACCCTTCGCATTGGAGTGCTGTATCACAGTTTTGGCCTTCGGCATTTCGCCTTTTCTCTTCGACGTCGGATCAGCAATGGCAAGCAGATTGCACTCACAGAGCTTGTCAAAGACATGGGACCGGCTACTTCAGCCTCGGAAATTCAACAGCGGCTTAGACCCTTTCTGGGATCCACGAACAAACTTCGCCAAGGGCTCTCTCCTTTGCCTTTGATCAAGGATGCGGATGGGAAACCCTGCACTTCGAATGAAGCAGCGCTCAACCGT